GGTGATTTCTAATGCCCTAAATGCCTTTACAGTCTTTAACTCCTTTTAAAAAGAAAAAGGAGAAGGGTTTTTGGGTTGAAAAAAAAAAAAAAAAAAAAAATCACTCAAATAGCAGGAGGCAGAACAAAGGGTGCCTGTGCCACAAACCCCTTGAGCTCATGAATGTGATCAAACAGCAAGCATCATCAGTGCTTTTTTTTTAATCCTCAGTACTGAGCACACAACCTGGGCTTTATTCACTGCACACCCCAAGACACAGTGCTGAATACTGGACTGGGGTCTCTTGAGGAGCTGGGATATTATCAAAAGAAAAAGGCCATCACCACAAAGATCTTTGTGTTAAGTAAAGTTTAACCTCTGTATGTAACAGAATCGAGCAAAATTCTCTTTTCAGACTAGAGATTTAAGCCCAGAGAGAGCAAGATCAAATTCTGAGTGTTTCAGCCAGAACAGCCCTGCCTGCAGGCAGCTGGCACTTCGCTGCATTTTAATAGTGTTCACAGCCACCCGCACAGAGCAGCACAACTCCATCCCCCTCTGCCCCAAACCTACCCACTGGAAAGCATGGGACTCCCCAGCAAGGCATGACAGAGGCCCCAGTGTGCCTGATCCGATACACTTTGGGATGGGACTGTCTGCGTCCCCATCTCTCCAGGGACTTGATAGTGCAGACAGCTGAGGACTCTGCTAAGGAAATGCAGCCCTGGCAGTGGATGTGTCTCCCCTGGGTAAGCCTGGGGCCGTTACAGTTACAGGATGAAGGCAAATGCTTCTCTTATCCTGAGGAGCACATCTAGGGCAGGCGAATCAAGGTCTAAAGGTACTGGTTTCTCTCTCCCGGAGAAGAGGAGCTCAGGGATCTGCTCCAGGCATGTAGAGCGTGGGTGGGAGGAAGCCTTCTCAGGTGTCTCACATCTCTGAAGTGCAGCACATCTCCTTAAAAGCAAGCCCTAAAAATACAGGTTTGGTTATTAACCGCTGTTGCACTGGACCATGGGAATTATATCCCTCTACTATGTACCTTCTACCAGCCTCAGTTCTTTCAATTCTGTTTCATCAGAGGCTTTCCAACTCCTTCGGACGCTTCTCATCTACTTAAAGGTTTTAGCCCTTCAACTACTCATAACTTTCTGCAGAAGTGAAGACAGTCTTCCCCAGTTTTCACGCACTCGCCAAATTTCAGTCTTGCTGCAAGGGCAAGAGGCAGAACTGTCAACACCACTCACGGTTTTTGTTTTTTTTAATCACTAAAAACATTGCTCAAGATGATAGCCTAGTCTGATACATCACCCCACCAGCACTAAAATGTTAACTGCTTGAAAAACATAGATTTTAAATCCAGCACCTTTTCTAAGCCCTCTCATGCAATCCCCGCGTGAAACTCTTCTCTTTCTGTATTTCTTCCTCCCAAGATAAATAAATCCTCCTTCCATCTCATGTCCTCATATGGAAGCTGAAAAGAGCCCAGGATACCCTGAAATAGGCTTCACAGTGGCTCCATCCTTGCATGTATATGTTCTTGGACTTGACCTGCAGTAGTCATTAATGCCTTTCAGTGCTCTTCCACGGCACGAGAATTGAGCCACCCAACCTGCCCCATACAGCAAGCCAACAACTAAGTGTGCCAATGACAGCAAATGCGAGACCTCCAAGATGTTCTGACAGAAAGAGCATTGCAGAAAAGCTCCTCAGAAAAGCCCACTGAGATGAGGGCAGCCCTTCCACCCCAGGAGCAGGACAGAGGGATGGTCCTGGCCATCCCCCACAGACGCTCCCTCTGGCTGGCACTCTGACCTGTGACATTATTGGGCATGTTTTGCACATGCAGATTTCCAAGTATAATATTTCAAATGAACTTCTCTGCCTCCAAGGTTAATACTACTTTAGACAAATACAAGTCTCTCTAGCTGTCAGAAGCCAACCATTTTCAACATGGGAAAGCCAACAATGAAGCTTTCATGTACATCTGGTTGTGCTTAAGGCTTCTTTCCTGCTATGTGTCTCGCTTCTTATCAAGCACTTCATGCACACACAGAACGGGTGTGTTTGTGTTCCATATACCATGGCAGTAATTATCAGCAATTCTGTGATAAAGCAGCTGTGAGTGCTATGGAGCTACACAAGACATGTTGTTATTTTACAGACTGGAAAACTGATGTATTGAGTCTTTGCTTGTCAAGGTCACGGAACAAATCCATGTCAGAGCTGGAGAAATATGGCATTTTTTTTCTGCAGGTAATTAATTTTGAGCTGAGATGAACACAGACTTGAATGTAACAATTTAGAGCTAGATTTCATTAACAGAGAAGGTGGAAAAAATAAATTAAGTTACACATTCCTGCATCAGCTTCTGTAACACTCTGAAGGTGGCTCAGATCTGTACTTAAGTCTGAATTATTGCTGCCTCTATGGTCCAAATTAAACCACTGGCTAGTTGAAAGACATCAAGGCATTAGAAAGGACAAAAGAAAGCAAAGCCAATATTGGACAAGGAGATGCCTGGGGAAGTTGACAGAGGATAGAGTTGTGCATAGAGGATTTTTGTGACTGTGGGTTAGAAAAGAAGCAGGGTGAAAATACAGTTGTTGTAACAGCTCTTCTGCCTTCCTCTTCTGGGACCAGGCGATGCTGTGAAGTGTGAGGCTGAGCCAATGTGAGATAACAGCCTCATTCACCCCAGACCTTCCTCCCCCTGCTGAAACAGAGTAAGGATAGAGTGGTTTTGATTCCATCTCCTGGAAAAGGCCTCTGCTGTGGCACAAGAGGTGCCTGGTCCAGAGGAGACCACGCTCTCCCCTCCACACAATCTGCTGGGATCCCAGCCCTGGGAAACGTCTCCATTTACGACGTTTCCAGAGAGAAGCAAAGTTCACATATATGATATATTCTGTGTTTCAACAGTAGTCCTGAAGGACACTGTCTGTCCAACTCTACATCTTGATCTTCCAGCCTAGGTTATCGGCTCCTCAGCCTACACTCAGCTCCTCTTGACTTTCCAGGAGATATGGGCAGGAGACTTTAGAAAGGGGCTGAAAAGTGCCGTTTAGGCTCATTATTCAGTGTGTACAACCAGTAAGGTGCCCCACTCAAACAAGGCACTGCTGGGCAGATAATTACAACAGGGAAAAGACATTTCTGCCCTGTTGCCCTGGAGATGAACCCACCAGTGCCTTCACTTTTGCCTTTTGAGCGGGTGCCAGATGTCCCTCCTGTCAGAATTTGGGGACGCTTCCGACCAACAAGACGGATACACTGAAATCCTCCACATGCCACAGATGGTTTCTAATCAGGGATTTACACCACTTGTTGCCAAAAGCAAGGTTCCGTAAGGAGTTACGGGTGTCCAACTGCTGGAGAGGGAGCTCCTCTGAACTAAGAAAGCTAAATGTGCTTTTCAGGAACTAAGCTCTCCTGTGTTTTCAACTCACTTTATTATAGCAACAGATCTTTCACCTTCATTTGATATTATGTGCAAAGCAAGAGGTACAAGATTGGGAATGGTTTCTAGCCAGAAAAGCCAGGTGGCAAGGCACTCTCCTGAGCTCAACTGCCACCACAACCAGAGACAGCCGTCCAAGAAAAGCTCAGAGGCAATGTCACTATACTCTAAAAATATCTGCATATGATGAAGCTATGACAGCAGAAAGATATTTAAGCAAGGAGGCAACACTGCAATGAGACTGAGGAGCAGACATCTGCATTAGGCAAGAGGTGCTGTTCACTTCTAACAGAAGAGTTTGCCCAGGACTCAGATGAAGCCTCTGCTATAAGATTTCACATAAAATTGCATCTCTCTGCAGAAGAAATTCCCCAGAATCAGCTAGTTCTTACAAAAAGGACACCTAAAGAGACGCCCTGAAGTTGTGGCCCATGAATGCAGGTAAGGCTGACCATGGACAGGACGGACAGATTCTCCTCTCACTTTGTGAAGTAATTATATTCAAGTGCTTTGAAACGTAAGAGGTTTTTTTTAAAAAATCCACCACCTATCCCAAAATTTAAAAAGTCCTGTCAGCTGCCAGGGCAGAAGGCAAGTACCATGACCATAAGCTGCTCCTCACATTGTCTATTATCAGGTATATGTTAAAAGACTGATGCAGGAAAGCCAGTAATCTCTTGTCACTGAGCTGTCTGCTCACAGGGAAGATTCTTCCTAAAGATTAGTTCCTAAAGGCACAAAAAGTAAATATCCTGAATACTCTCTTTAGTAAAGGGATGATGTTCTCTCTACAGCCATTTTCAACACCTCTATTCTTTTGGCCCCTGTAGCCCCACCTCTGACAAACTCTCCAAGTTAAAAAACAGAAAAAAAACATGTACTAGTTTCCAAATTAGTATCCTATGATTCACACAACATCTCTTTCTTCCTGTAGGATTATGGAGACCAAGTAAGACCTTGCAGACTACTCTCTACATGGTTCATGAATGCAAGCATATAGGTGAAATGTGTTCATGACTCTCACCAGAAGCAGCAATTCCGAACCTCAGTTTCTTATCATAAAGGTATTTCCAGGTCTGTAAGTGCCTCTGCCATGTTACTACGCTTTCTACTGCTTTAAGAATGGATGAAGACAGCAGGCAAGCATTTCTGTTAAACACACTCTACAAATACATATAAGGACAGCAACAGAGAAGCCTGAAAAACCCCACACTTTCTTTGGATCAGAATACCCAGTTTTGCTTTCTAACCACCACAACAGCCTCCCACTGCAATTCTGTGCCTGCATCGCTTGTCCCATAATTTTGTTAGCTCCAAACCCACCAAATTCAAATACATTCTGCTTTGAAGGGAACTGCTGAATGTTATCTGCCGTTAGGCACGTCACTCGTCTTGCTTTTCAAGTTCTCCCAGGCGAGCTCTCCAGATGTTCCTGGATTTAATTAAACTCATAATTGCTTTCTGAAAGTCTTCTTGCCTACACCATTCCACTCACTTGCTTTCCAGAATTGTTAAGAGACATTATTTAATTACAGGACAAAAAGCCCCACTTCATTCAACCCCTTGCTCTGCATCAGACAACACCACGGTTTCCACATATCCTGGCTCAAGTCTTCTACACCTGTAGGTGTTCTCAGGGCCATGCAGGGAATAAGACTTTTAAACTACTCCCCACTATTTCATTAGAGAAACTGGAAGATGTCATGAACACAGGGAAAGGTCAGTTTTGCCATTTGGTGAATATTTATTCACTGCTTCTTACAACAGAAGGGGCAGCCACTGAAGTTAACAGGCAAAATGAAATTACCTTGCCATAGGCTTTGATGACCAAGTACATAAGTGGATTGAAAAAACTGAAATGAATGCTGATTTAAGCATGGCAGCACGATGTGCCTTTATCTGCAAAAGCATTGGCCTCCCACAGATGGAGGTTGGGGTGTATCCCCCCTGTAGCATGATCCTGACAAATCCAAGGTGTTCAGGACTCAGATCTGTGCAGACACGGGCTGGATTTACCGTGCCTGAGCTGCAGCATCGACCTGGGCAGAAGACACCAGGCCCTAAGGGAAACTTTGGGGATTTGAGGAAGCTGGTGGGGACAATGGAGATATTACTTGCAGGACTGAGGGACCCTGCTTTATGGTTAAACTTATTAAAGCTGCAGATTGAACACACTCATGGTGGAATAAAAGTCAAGCTACAGGCAATCAAAACACCTCGACATCTTATTCATTAAAGACTCTCTCTATTTGTAATCCACAGAATGAGTCATCGGAGTCAATTACAGATTTCCTTTGCATAGTATGGTCTCAGGTCACAGCTTGGTTGTGGACGCCGTATGGGCATTTGTTAGTACTGAAGATGCCACAGCAATGCAGACAGGCTGCAATTAGACCTCACGCTACGAAACAAGCACAAAGGAACCGAACTAAGGCAACTTAACTTTGCATTACCCCCATTTTAACATTTGACTTCCAAGGAGCACGTTTTTATCTCTTTTGATCCTGTATTTATTTTTATGAATCTCTGATTCTTTGAGGCATCAACCCCTGACACACTGAAAATGGATTATTTATAAACCATCCACAGGAAAGAGGCACACTTGAGCTTATGGACTGAAGAGCATTCCTACTGAATTCAAAATAATTTATAGGCTTTCTTTTAACAACTAGCACAGTCACCGACACTTTTGGCTTCACTGCCATGTTGCCTTGTTATTTTGTATGTGCTAACCTCAGCCAGATTCAGTTGACATGTTTCTCATACCTTCTCCCATGCGAACAAAGCCTTATTCCTACCACAGACCCCCCGCCTAAGGCCATTTCTGACCCAGGAATGCCATTCTCATCGCCACTCGGCTCCTATCTACATTGTAGAAATACCTTTTTGGCAATAAGATAAGGCACGGGCGCAGCGGGCCCCTTGCTCAGAGCCTGGTGTCGATAACAAAGGCGGCGTCACCACAGCGAAGGCAGTAAGGTCAGGGCAGCACCCGCACCCGGGGTTCAGGGGAGAAGCCCAGGAGCCGGTGTCCGTCAGCATTTCACAGCTCGGCCGTTGCCGAGCACATGCTGACAGCCCCTGCCCCGGCAGCAACCACGGGAAAACACAGCCCTTCGCTGGGAAGCATGGGGCAACAAGCTGTTCTGGAGACCCCAAGCCACCGCTTGGCTTTTCCACCCTGGAGAAGATCTCCGACGACAACACAGGGAGGGAAAGGCCCAGGCAGCCATGCGCTTCCAGCTGGGCCATCACCTCCATCCCTCCGGGTCGGGCACTGCCTTAAGGCTTGGGATGCTACCAGCCTGCTCTGCTCCCGCTTCGCCCCAGACCGCTCATCCCGCCCCCCAGCCCTCCACCGGCCTCTGAAGTGTCCCCGTCCCCACCCTGTCCCCATCTCGCTCACCTGTTCTGGGGCCGGATGCCCAGCAGGTAGCTCCGCCGGTCGGGCCGGGAGGCCCAGGCCGCGCTCTCGGCCTTCTCGGCCTCCTCCGCCCCCTCCACGTTGCCCGTTGCCCGCCCGTAGAGGCCGGCGA